AAAAAATTATATCAAAGGGTCTTCCCCTTGGCCTTGTGCTTAAGTTAGTAACAAATTCAACGTACCCCTCTATTTATACACAGCATACATATTCTTCTCTATATGTATTGTTCCCATACTTCGCGTTCTTCTCTATATATATTTTTCCCATACTTCGCGTTCTTCTCGTACCTCAATCGTGTCAATATCACTTGGGAACAAAGGACCTTCAACTTGAGGTAAAAAAACAAAGAAACAAGAAGAAAAGTCAAGGCTTCTGTAGCAGGAAAGAAGAGCAGCAGCAGCCATGACCGTTTCATCTTCTCTTTCTGTTGCCAAAAATGGCAGAGTCCTCATCGCCGGTGCCACCGGTTTCATCGGGAGGTTCGTAGCTGAAGCCAGCCTCGCAGCCGGTCAACCCACGTATGTTCTCGTCCGGCCCGGCCCTCTGCACCCTTCTAAGGCTGACACCGTCAAGTCCTTCAAAGACAAAGGCGCAATAATCTTACACGTATGGAAATAAATCTCTGTGCAAAATATATCCTTTTTTTTTATGACTTTACATGCATTTATAATTTTTGTTCACTTTATCATGTTTTAATATGTTGTAATATTGACTATTTTCAGGGGCTGATTTCCGATAAAACCCTAATGGAGAAAATGCTAAGAGAGCATGAAATCGAGATAGTAATATCAGCCGTGGGTGGTGCCACAATATTGGACCAGATCACCCTAGTCGACGCCATTGCGGCAGTTGGTACAGTTAAGGTAAATATATATTATATTTCCGATGCAAAAAATATATATTATATATAAATATATCATATTATATTATATTATATGCTTTTTGGAAAACAAAACCATATAAAAACATTATATATTTTGTAATTAATTTTTCTGCAAAATTTATGTTGCAGAGGTTTTTGCCGTCGGAGTTTGGACACGATGTGGACAGGGCTGATCCGGTGGAACCAGGGCTCACCATGTATTTGGAGAAACGCAAGGTTAGACGTTCCGTCGAGACATCTGGGGTACCCTACACATATATTTGCTGCAACTCGATTGCTTCTTGGCCCTACTTTGACAACACCCACCCTTCTGAGGTTCTCCCACCGTTGGATCGGTTCCAAATCTACGGTGATGGCACCGTCAAAGGTATGATACACACGCACACATTTTGTTGGTGAATTTGCAGCATTCCATTAATTAGGGGTACACGTGTTTTCTTCTAATGTCATTCAAGCTTAAAGCAATGCCAGCTAAAAAGGACAGATATTCGTAGGACTCACTTTTGCTTATATTAAAAAATACGTATTATTTGATCCAAAAGAAATAAATAATTTATTAGCAATAATAAAAGTCATCAAGCAATTATTTCTCCATTATTTTTACTACCGAAAGTGGAATGATTCTTAGAGTAAACACTTTACAACCACCGCAATTATAATGTGAACCAAGTTCTTTCACCAACTAAAGTCTAAGTAGTTTACTTTAGGGAAATAATATCTACAATTGATTAATTATAATTGAAAAGATAACTATTACGAGCTCGTTTGAAAGTATTTTTAAAATGATTGATAACACTTTTAAAGAAATATTTTGGATTCTAAAATCACTTAAAATGCTTCCTTAAGTGATTATTTAAGGTGCTTCCCTAATTTCAATCATTTTATAAATTCTTCCAAACAAATCTTATATTCATTAAGATAAAAACAAAAAATGTTATTTTAAGTCATTGCAGGTAGCCAATGGTGAGCATGTACAAGATGAAAGAGAAATTTTAGAAAGTGATACTTATCCTAGTTGATGAGGACATTTATTTTTATTAACCTTAATTGAAGAAATGAATCATTTTTATTGATATATGTTAAAAAAAATGAAATGACCATGTACCTACAACAAATATAAAATTATGTACGACCTGAACCAATTTTTTTTATAAAAAACCTAAAATATTATATGATTAGGTGTAAGTCACTATTATAATAAGTATAAAATACCTCTTGAAATAAATAAAAGTTAATAACAGTTAGATTGAGGATAGTTTATTAACGAACGGACTGTTTTTTCTTTTGTCCTGATTTGGTGGCAAGAAAACCTTGAGATGTGTTATCCACGCTCTTTTTTATTTTTTATTCACTTTTTATTAATTTCAGTCATTTGATCTTCTTCAATTCATCCGATGATAAAAAAACTTAGAAAGGTGTGTGAAAAGTAAAAATGGTGTATGGATAGCACATCCCTACTAAAAAATTGGAAGCATTTATGCTCATCCTATAACTATGGGGTATGCTCTTCATACATCTTATTATCTGCCATGTGTACTTTTACTTAACCCTAATTATTTTTTTTCCACATTGAAAATGATCTTTTAATATGCAAGTTAACCAAAATTAGATGAAAGGATACAAGGCAGATGATAAGGTATATAGTGAGTATACAACATAATTTATAGTGGTGCGCAAAAATGCATCCCAAAAAAAGATAAAATCTCCTAATTTGAAGGGAGTATGATTCTTTTTCCTCCTCATCTTTCTCCTCTTTTATTCCTTCCCCTCCTATTTAAACGGTTAGGATTAAAGCACACTGAAATTTATGGAGAGAAAAAGACGAAAAAAAAGTGTGAGATGAGGGAAGTAAGAGATAGAAAATACATGTTACATAAACGGTTAGGATTTAGCCCAACTTATGTTTTTGCAAGGGGCTTTTCTCATAGTGCACATGTTACTTACATATCTAAATAACAACCGTTAAATTTATATGAACGAACGAGACAAAACTTTACCTTAAGTTACAACCGGGATACCAAACCTTGAAGTACAGAATCCGGTAGTTCTCTATCTTCTCGCTCCGGGCGTCTGTCTCTCTCCTCCCTTCCCTTAGCCAAAACCTCAGTTCCTGTCTAGACCTAGAGCACTGCTGCCATCACCAACAACTCTTTTGAATTAGATGATGGGTTAAGTGTTTGTGTTGATAATTTTGGAGGGAAATAGAACTTGGTGGAGGTCCTGGGGAGGAGTGGCTTTGGGTGGCTTGAGGGTTTTTGATAGGTGGAGAGTTGAGTGGTTAACGGAGGCACAGTCGCCAACGGATTATAATCTTTCGGCGGAGGTGTTTGGCCAACGGTGGGGAGAGGTAGGGGAGGTGACCAGGAGAAAGAGGAAGAGGTGGCAACTTTCGGCGCCCGTTCGTTAAGGTTGATCGGTGGGTTAGAAGTAAATGGGTAAATAAAATGTGCATGTAGACGTGTGCACTGGGGAAGCAGCCTTTCGGCGAGTTGGATGGATGGGCGAAAACATGGAATTTTGAATATTCTAAGCCGTCCACGTGTAGGGTAGTCCTTTCTCCTCGGCACCGAACTTGTCTGTTGCTGTTAGGCCGTGCCCAACCTCCAGCCCAAAGCTGGGGCCCACTTTATTCATCCTCGCTCACCGCAAGTCTGCAACCTAAAGTGGGGCCCACTTTAGTCGGTCCCACAGTTCATATACTGTTCAATAATAATAATAATAATATTATTATTATTATTTTATTTTCGGAAGATTCAATGTTTCTGTATCCACTAGTGAATGTGGGAAAATGTGTTTGATGGTATGTCTGATGCACCTGCCATTAATTACTAAGGTACGAAAGAGATACCTGCGCATATTTTTTGGTATTTTACTAATATTACAACATACACGTAAGCATTTTTGTAGTATTCAAGCTTTCAGCTCGACTTTTGATGTTATATTTTTACTATGTTACACAAAATTTACAGCCGCAACAACGATAATTTTGTTTGATTTTTGTACACAGCCTACTTTGTAGACGGTACGGATATCGGGAAGTTCACAATGAAAACGGTGGACGACATGCGAACAATCAACAAAAATGTTCATTTCCGACCGCCGAGCAATTTATACGACATCAATGGGCTTGCATCCCTGTGGGAGAAGAAAATTGGCCGGACCCTCCCTAGAGTCACCGTCACTGAAGATCACCTACTAGCCCTTGCTGCAGGTCACTTCCCTCTTTAATCTTCTTTACCAACATTTAATTAGGCATGTGTTTGGGACCAATCTTTTGATGCCATGAATTAATGATACAAAACAAAACATGTATAATATGTCCGCCTTTTGAACCTGAGATCGGTGTCCTTCATTTAGATTAGAGTGGTTAAAACAAAGTTCTGAACTACTCTAATCTACATGCGATAAATCACTTGGATACAGGGAACCAAAACATTACTTTGGTCAACTAATCTAACTTACATATGAAAATTAGACTAGTTTATAATATATATATATATATATATATATATATATTAAGTTGTCAACAAGTAATTTGTAACGAGTTAGAATTTACTAATTGCAGATAACCGTATACCAGAAAGCATTGTGGCCTCGTTCACGCATGACATCTTTATCAAAGGATGCCAGGTTAATTTTGCAGTGGAAGGGCCTCATGATGTGGAAGTGGGAACTCTCTACCCTGGAGATTCTTTCAGGACCTTGGATGAGTGCTTCGATGGCTTTCTTCTCAAGTTGAAGGACAACCTAGAGCTAGAGCTACTGCAAGAGGAGGAGGATCAGAAAGTCTCCACCGAAAACACCGTTGTCGAATCCAGGACTGTCACTGCCACTTGTGCTTGATCAATCTATCCGAATCAAGACCGTCGACGATGAAATTCATGTTCTGGATTTATTACTAGGAAAAGAAATGTTCCAACAGTTTGGGGGTGAGCTTGTTATAAAATTGGTATGGAGGGGGAGGGTTTCTAGGGTTTCTTCGAGGAAGATACTAATTTGATTTTTTTTTTTTATTGCTGGACAAGGAAGCTGGAATTTCATTTTACATTGTTAAAAAGAATTCCAGTTTGATGTGAATGTTGGATAATTCAACGTAATAATGTAATAAGTCTGGTAATTATTTGAGATTATTGATTATTCGATATGTTTAAGAGTGATTCTTATCCCATAAATTTGCAATACTACTAAGCTTTTACATTAACAAGTAGTTGACTAAGACAATGTGTGCCCCCTTTTTGCAAAGTTAGAATTCATTTCTCGTAGTTTAAATTAAGTTAAGAGTATTGCTCCAAAATGAACCAAAACAAAAAGTTCAAGATGAACAAACCTTTTGCATTTCCATCGGTCACATTTTCATTCCAAATTTGACAGATTCTAACGACAATACATAAAGGTAATTGAAAAAAAAAAAAGCAGAACTGAATTTCGATTACGGGATTCTTCACTTACCTCAATCGTGTCAAAATCACTTGGGAAAAAAGTACTTCGCATTCCTCAATGGTGTCAAAATCACTTAGGTAAAAAGGACCTTCAACTTGAGGGGAAAAAACAAAGAAAAAAGAAGAAAAGTCAAGGACTCTGTAGCAGGAAGGAAGAACAGCAGCAGCCATGACTGTTTCATCTTCTCTTTCTGTTGCCAAAAGTGGCAGCGTCCTCATCGTCGGTGCCACCGGTTTCATCGAGGCCATTGGAGAAGTTGGAACAGTTAAGGTAAATATTTATCATTAAAAAATGTAACAAAAATATCTAATATTTTGTCTCTAAATTTCTGCAAAATTTATGTTGCAGAGGTTTTTGCCGTCGGAGTTTAGACATGAGGTGGACAGGGCTGATCCGGTGGAACCAGGGCTCACCATGTACTTGGAGAAACGCAAGGTTAGACGTTGGGTCGAGGAATCTGGGGTGCCCTAAACTTACTTTGCTGCAACTAGATTGCTTCTTGGCCCTAATTTGACAACACCCACCCTTCTGAGTTCTGCCACCATTAAAGCGGGCTATTTTTTTTTTTTTTTGGAGCACGTTGATATTTTTAGACTAAAAAGAGGAGGAGTTAAGCAAAACTATACAATAAACAGTTTAATTTGGTATTAAATTCGTTATCTACGAGATTCGTAGATAAACGTTGTGTGTGTGAATTTATTTTTATTTTTATTTTTATTTTTTTCTGAACGAACGTTGTGTGTGTGAATTTGTAGCAAATATTTGATCCACCTAAATAGGAGAGATTCGTAGGACTCGCTGTTGCTAATATTCAAAGAAACGTATTATTTGATCCACCTTTATAAAGTAAACTGAAAAGGAAGAAATAATTTACTAGTAATAATAAAAGTCAACATGCAATTATTTTTACCATAAAGAGTTCAATAATTCTTGGAGCAAGCACTTTACAACCGCAATTAGACTGTGAACCATAGTTATTTATTTCACCACTAAAGTCTAGTGAAGTAGTTACTTTAGGAAAATAATATCAACGGTTGGTTAATTCTAATTGAAAAGAAAACTACTATAATCTCGTTTGAAAGCATTTTTAAAATAATTGAAAACGTTTTCGTATGTTTTAATAAAATACCAAATAACATACCTACGTATATTTTTCGTACTTTTGTAATTAATTGCCACAAGTACACGAGGCTGACAAGACATCAAACACATTCATTAGTTTTCCGAAAGAGAAAAAGAATCCAATGACTTTAAAATAATTGAACGAAGAGCCGTATAAAATAAAAATCTCATGTACAATTATGTAAAACAACAATAAGGATAACTTATCCGTCAACTTTTCGTATGTTTTAATAAAATGCCAAATAACTTTTTTTTGTACTTTTGTAATTAAGCCAACTAACATATTTTTCGTACTTTTGTAATTAATGGCCACAGGTACAGGTACAAGAGAGTGACAAAGTGGGTACAGAAACATTCAACACTATATGGATTGTGGGATCGCATAAAGTGGGCCCCACCTTTTTGGTGGGCTGGGCACGGCCCAACAGCAACAGAAGAGTTTGGCGGCGACGAGAAAGATACCCACTACAGGTGGGCGGCTTCGAATAGTCAAAATTGCTCTTGTCGCACATCCATCCAATCACCACAAGGGCGCTTCTCCAGTGCACATGTCTATATGTGTTAGGTACTCAAGCCTAAGGGAAGAGCCCAACCCAAAAGACTAATCCAATAGGTGAGATGATCCCTTGCACTTAAGTACCACTACACAATTTCTTTATGTAGCCGATGTCGGATCATAACAATATGCACATGTTATTTACACATTTACTGCTTAGCCGTTTGATTAATCTTAACGGCTAATGTTGAAAACTTAATTTATATTAGAACTGGATATTTAAGACACACCAGGATCGTTGAAACCCGAAAGTTGCCACTTTTTCCCTCTTTCTCCTGGTCACCTCCCATACCTCTCCCCAAGGGTAGTTGGCAATCTAGGTCGAGAAAGGGGCTGAGGTTTTGGCTGAGAGAAGGGAGGAGAGAGACAAACTACCAGATTCTGTAATGGGGTGTGATATCCACATCCTATTTTACTTCTCACACACCTTTTTCATTTTCAACTGTCAGATCGGATGAATTGAAGAAGATCAACGAACAAAATAATCAAGGGGTGTGTGAGAAGTAAAATAGGGTGTGTGGATAGCACATCCATTTTGTAATTCAAGTTTTGTTAACCCAGTTGTAACTTAAGCTAAAATTTTATCTCCCTCGTTCATACCAATCTACGGTTGTTATTTAGGCACGTAAATATCATGTGGATAAACATGTGCACTAGAGAAAAATCCCTCGCAATAAACATTAGTTGGACCAACTCATGTAGGCCCAAGAACGGGGGCATAGCCTATCTCTTTTACTAGGTTTTGTTCTCTCAGCAAAACTAAAAAAAATGAAAAAAATGAAAAATGAAAAATAGTTAAAATAAAATATTTTACCAAATAAATAAAAAGGAATTCGCATGTAAAATAGATTATTAGAGTAAGAGCATTTTAGTAATCATATTGATTTTCATTCCCGTTCATGTTCATTATTAAACAACTTATACGGTTCAATACCATTCATACTCTTCAAGTCTAGAAAATTTCAGGAAACAGTTTTTAATAGGAATCCGATTCTGATTCCACCCCATTCCAACTCCACAATTCATTTCGTCTCATTCAGAATATAGATTAGTAGACGAGCCATAAATGTAAAGATACGGACAAGAAAATTCAATCAACACTTTTGAAATTGGTGACTATAACGACATTATATTTACAACTTTTTTGGTATTATAATACAACATGAAGGGCATGGGTGAAGAAAGAAGAATTTCCAGCTTCCAATTGCTTGATTCAACCTAAAATCACAAGCAACTTAAGAGTTGTGGAGCTGCTGGTCTTCAGGCCTACTTTACACATGATATATCGGCAGTCGCTGTTCAATGCAGACACGGCATATGGGGCACTTTTTACACTTCTCACAACAAGTGCTGAAAATGCATTAAGAATAACGAATTCGATGAATCAAATCAACGTAAATTGCATACGCCGGTAAAGAATGTCCTGCGAGGGTGTGAATGGGTACATGAAGAAGGTACCTGCAAAGAACGTGATGCCGGCATGGAAGCAGGACTATATTAATCTGTTCTTCAAAGCATACTCTACATAGGATCTTTTCCTGCAGGATTCGGCGAAAGCAGGTAAGGCTCGTGGCATTTATGAAAACAACCTTGAAATTTTCGTTATTCGTAATGTGAAAATATTAAAAGTCAGCAGTTGAAACATTACATTCTGAAGTCTTTCGTACTCCTGCTGGCTAAATTTCGTGACTTCCGTTTGCTCACTGAGTGCAGCTTGCAGTTTCCAAACCTGAGATAGGAAAATAGAAGTATTTAAAGAACTATTATTAGCTGATATTACATGTATCCAATTATGCAATATCAATTAGACAGTAAAAGACTGGTGAAACCAAGACAAATGGTTCGATTAAGAGGCAGCTGTCGGCCAAGAGAATAAAAATTAGTGTTTACCTCCTCAACAAGGTCCGATCTAGGCAACTTCTTCACTATATCGGGTGAAAAAGTGTTGTACCTGATAAAAAGATCGAAGCAAAAATTGACAACGATGACTTTACAAGATACATCTATTTTCATGCAATGTAAATGGCATCTATATATGCAACAGAACTTACAAGGGGAAAAAACACATGAGAATCAAAACGGCAACATATTCTATCAGTGCAAATTAGTTTGTTTAGTTGATTAAGGTCATAGCGGGGAATCATTTTAGCAACTGACGCAATGGAAATACGAGGCACAAACAGCAGGACCTGTCTAGATTACTGAAGGAAGAGGAAGGAATTTAAAAATGTATAGCAATAACTAAATTTTAATTTCAGGTGAAAAGAAAAGGACCATTATAATTCCGTTGAGAAATCCTTTATATTAGTCTTGCTGTTTCTGAAATTAGAGAATCAGTACAGACCAATCATATGTTACTAAGAGAATATTTGTAAGTGCTTTTCGCAGCATACAAACACTCCTTATAACCAAATAAATGCTTCGTTAGTGTTTGCCTGAAACAAATAGAAGCTTTTTGGGGTTAGAGCACTTTAATAGGTGCTTCTCCAAGAAGTGCTTGGGAGTGAATATAAAAGAAGTGCTTAAGCTTCCAACAAAAAGTGTGATTGATTGGTCAAAAGTTAAAAGATGGAAGAATCAGTGTTCCCATGTCAGAAAAGAGTGAAAGCATGTGTGTGCATTAACAAGCCTTGCAGAAAATCCAGCATCTAATCTACAGATTCTACACAACATTTTGAGGTCCTTAAAACTTCTAAATAAGAGAAAACAAGGACTCTTTAATATTGTTTCAATAAGAAAGCAGGAGGTATGGAGAAAAATTGCCTAAATATTGCAGAAAAAATGCAGTTATGAAGAGTGTAGAAATCACAGACCCTGAAGCCCCTGCACAATACAGTCTAGCCTGTTCCTCTCGACTTCCTTCGTCAATCGACCACCAGCCCAATAACCTGCCAACAGGATGGATCATAACTAACAAGCCAACAGGATGAAATGAATCATAACCATCAACAATGGCCATACAATAACTTTTGTTTACAGCTTTTTGGAGTAGAGATCTCCAAAGGATATCTAAATTTTCCATTTCAAAGAAATGAAGCCTTACCTTGAACCACGGCGATAGAACCCAAAATACTCGCGAACTTTTGATGCTATGTCCACGTATCTTACAGAAAAAACTCCATTATGTACTAAAAGAACAATTTTCTCTGTTAATCTATATGCGGAAAACAAAAGACCAACTCCTTGCAGTAAAAGAAGAGGAGCAAAAAGAACTGGAATTGGGATATGCCTAGCAGCCGATGGCCTCCCCTGAAATGATAGATATACTTGAGACGATGACATGTTGAGAACATTCCAAACTACCAACAAATAGGTTCTTTTAAACGCTGAATATACCTCTAAGTGCATAAAGAGTAGGATCTGGAAAATGATTAGAGGAACTTTCATAATATGCCCACCGATATCCTGCAGGCTGCATACTACTGTCTCGTCTTGATCTTCATCTGAAGAAATGACTAAGCCACTATTCCAGTCAAGGTATCTTACGTTCATTGAAGATGAACAGGGTTCTTGAATGTGAGCATGTCTGTGAATAGCTGGATTATACCACTTCGTGCAAACAAGAAAGGCAAAACCCTGTGCAATTCTGTAGAAGGATATACAGAGGTTACTTCAGCAGATGAAGAAAAAGAATACTAAACATTAAATTTGAAACATTACTGTATACACAAATGTAAACGTAGTTCCAGTACCCAAAGTTTATGAATAAGTCCCACCAGCCTAGAGCAGAAATATCACCTGTACTTAATCAGGCCGAAGCAAGGCATCATGACATGTTAATGTTATTGCTAACTGTAGGCTAACAAGGATAAATCACACAGCAACTACAGCTCAGAACTAAGCTTACCGTTTATCTTTAAAAGAGTGAATACTGTGGCAGCAAGAAAGAAGACCATGGATATAGAAATCCAGAAGTGCTGGAAGCCAAAGATTGTTAAATTTAGTATAGAAAGTATAAATGACTTTAAATTCATATAATTTCCATAAATACAATGTACAAAGACAAGGAATATATCACGCACCAATTACCATCTTTATATTCACTGCCTGTCCAAGGGAATGCAGCTTTAATTTACTTGTACCATCTAATATACATACTATTCGAGAAAGAAATGTTCTAACTGCCATTAATTTTTTTTTTCTTTCCCAATAACAGATATAATTATCAATTTTCAGCATGCACACATAAAAGTTGCTCGTAATAATACAACAAATGTGCCAGAACAAATTGACAACCGTATATTTCATGTCATGCTCGTCACTTGCATTCATTTAAGAGAATTATTACTAAGAATAAGAAATGCACTTTCCCAACTCAATCATCATATGAAAATATAGTGGAAAACACTTACAGGAAGCGTTTCCCATATCACATCATCGTTTACGTGTTCATCGTCTCCAGGCATTAGAGCCTTACACATCCTACACAATAGAAACATTAATTACTTTAGCTGTATTACAATTCTTTTTGTCGAGAGCTGTATTACAATTTACTTAACTGAAACATCACATGATACATTGCAAGTTACACAGCCTTGCAGAAGAAATTAACAAGATTTTTTTAAGCTCAGGTCGATGTTCAAATTTGGAAATATGATTGGAAGAAATAGAGATACCTGACATTATCAAATAGAATTGCGAGTTCAAATGCCAACAAGGGTGCAAAGACAATCTTCAAGCTTACAACTGCACACACTAAAGTTCACCAAGAAGTAATCATAAGTGACTGTCAGATAATTCATTTATCGACCAACCAAAAAGTAAACTCGTTATAGATAAAGAAGATGATTTCAGTGATCCTTGTCATTAAGTATGTTGCCTGTATACCATATCTGCTCTGAAGGTATATACAAAGCATTAGTTCAAATGCGACAAGCAACGGTGTCGCCATGACAGCATGAAAAGGTGCCCACTGCCCATAAGAAAGAAATATTTACTTTTTTGTTGCTCAACTTGAAACATAAATAAATAAATTGGATTGTCTATGGAAAAATGATAACACGCAGTGGGGACAAATGCAGAAAAAATGGAAATACAATCTCATACATTGCGATCATTAGGCAGCTTTGGAGCAGGTAGCGAAAATCTGCCTCGTGCTACAACTACATGGAACAGCCAGAGAGGGGAAAATATGATCCTGCAGTATTATGAAAACAGAACACTATATATTCAATCAATCCCGAAAAAGTCAGCTGAGCTTTGGAGGTTTAAAGAAAGTTATGCTTCATCAAAGATATTCCAAACCCTCGAGACAATTACAAGTAACAAAACCAAAACCAAAACCAAAACCATCATGCAGTTTTCTTACATTAGATGTCCTCAAAAGGTTCTTTCGACATTCTTCACTAATCAGCTACAACTACTATGCAAACGCAGCCGCCAGTAAAACCATGGAAACAATGAATGGCTTACACCTTGTGAAGTTCTTAATTAAATTGGTACGTTTTCAACTCTGTATTTTTTTATAGATTTGGCAGTGCATTGGTCAGTTTGAACTATCTTGCAAAATGGAATCATTGAGCATCGAAATTTCCGATACCGGAACATTGTAGTCCACATAAGAACTTGAAACAGAAAGCATAACGAAACCTAACTAAAAACATCACATAAAATCCAAAGATCTCGAGCAAGAAACTTCCACGATCACTGAAAATTTGAAAATGCATGCCCAATAGAATCAACTACGAGCCCAAGAAGGAAACTTTTTAAATTAATAAGCAGAACCCACAAGTTTTTTACCGGAAAATTGAGGGGGATTCTCAGCAATTCACTCTCTAAACAAAGAAATTTGAACCCACAAAGGTAAAAGCTTCACAAACTCACAAATGGGTCCCTTTAGTTTGCGAGAACAATGCAGTAAAAATCGAAAAAACTACAGTATCTAATACTCTCTCGGGTAATAAAAAATTCAAACCATCCGTTTTTCCCCTATTATTTTCTCTCAGTTTCTCGGCAACCAAACAACAGGCAACAAAAACGCAGAGGGAATAGAAAATCACGAACCACCAAGGGTAGCGGACGGAACGGTGGAGCTTGAGAACGAGGAGAGTCGTGAACGTGAAAAGCGACGCGTGGGCGACAAGTGTTTGGAGAGACTTGGCCACCGACCGCCACGTCATCACTCTCCTCTGAACCAACATTTCCTGAAAGTACTGCTGCGAAGAAATTGAGGTTTTCTGTCTGCAGAGGACGGAATTTACAGGGGAGTGTACCGAAACGGAGAGAGAGCAGAGGAGCGAAGAAAAAGGGTGTCGGAGGTCTCACAATGATCAGATAAAAGACAGGAAAGGAGACTTCTTTTCGAGGTTATGTTTGAAGCGTATTTCGTCTTTCTTTCTGTTTTTTATTTTTCGTTCTTCGACTTCACTTTCACGCTAAAGGGTTGCTTGCGGGAGATTTTTTTTTGACGAAATTGCCCTTGAATTACACTGCAAATATATATATATATATATATATATATATATTTTTTTTTTTTTTAATTTATTATTATTAAAGAAAGCGAAGGTGCCCTAAACTATTACGACTAATTTAAGAAAAAAGAAGAAAGTTTCGAAACCAAGACGTATATGTAAAAACATAACGTTCTGTCCACTGGAGTGCATGTATGTATTAGTCTTTTAGAACTTCACATCATACAACGATGATTTTGCAACCTACCCTTAATTAAAAATACAATTAGAAAGATACTAAAATGATTGTTGTATGATGCGAAGTTCTAAAAGAGTAATACATATTTGTAATTGGAATAATCAATTTTGGGTTTGATTGTGATGTTTTAAAAGCGGATAAGATTTGAGAGACATTTGCTATTGGAAGTACAAACGGGAGGCACTACTGTGATTCTTTTGATTTAATAGGGTAATGTGCATTGGCATTTTGGTTGCGGCATCTACTTTTGTCTATTTTGATGGTACTTTCAATGTGGTTCTTTGTCTTTATAATTGGAAGTAAGGTTCTCTCCCTTCTTTATTTCTCTCACGTTTCTTCTTTTTTGAAAGAGATTATCTCAAAATAGGATTTTCTGTAACTTATGCTATCTTATAATTTAACATCAATTCTTGTGCAAATATTTTACCATAAATATGAGGTGGCAAAGAGTTTATAGAGTCCCTTTCGCATTTCTCTCTTCGAAAAGTTTTTTATCGAAGTCCACATCACCATCGTTTTCTTCCAGCACATTTATTTTTGTAAGACATTTTGTTTTTGCACATCGTGAAAGTGATCAGACAATATGTTATTTAATTGAGACGCAGTTTTAATTCATAATATTCACGCTTGAGTATAAATTGATTTTTCTATCTTATACTTTTATCTGATATTTAGTAAAGCATCATTTTCAATTAAAAAAAATGTTGATTTAACTGTGTAGTATATATATCTTTTGCTTTTCCTATTGTTTTCTTCTTTTTCTTAGTTGCTGTCAAAACATAATTGGCTCGTTTGTTTAGTTTGGATAACTCATCATATTCAATGAATGTTAAATAATATGAACGGCATTTTTTTTTTAAATATTTTGTCTTAAAAAAGTCACGAAGAAAACTTGTTCTTCTTAAACCAACTATTTTAATGAGAATTACAAGGGATAATTTTTCTTCATAATATGCCAATTAAAGGTGCGTTTGAAAGTATATGACTGAAAGCTTTTTTTGTATGAAAGTGTCAATCATTATTAAAAGTACAGGTGAATTATAGAAAAAGCACTAAAAATGCTAACCTTCAGCCTCCTCCTGGCCACAAATTTGGCAAAGCTTTTTTTTTTTTTATGAAAGTGTCAATCTTTATTAAAAGTACAAATGAATTATGGAAAAAGCACTAAAAATGTTAGCCTTCAGCCTTCTCCTGGCCACAAGTCTGGCTTCCACACCAACAACGGGTTTCGAATTTGAAATCTTTAGATTTTAGTTTGAAAGAAGTCTTGCAATTCATCATGTACCATTAGGCCACCAGCTCGTGGTTTATATTACTAAAGTTGGGTTATTATTTTATTTCTGAATGGAATACGGGCCATTGAGAAGTATGAGGTTTTGATTTCGTAACAAACTGATCACGTAATACGTCGGCCTATGTTTTCAGTCCACTGAAAGATTAGATCAGGTTAACCCAAACTCTAGGGCCCAAAACCATTCAAGACCATTATGTTGCTCGGCCCAAAATATACATCTCTTCCGATTTACAGCCTACAGGCGGATTTGTGTTGGAGTCAGCGTCTGTAATTGCTCTCAATTGAACTCAAACTGTGGAATACGAATTTGGAATTCTTTCTCAATCATTGAGCCACCCAACAAAATACTTAAAAAAAAAACTTATACATTGTGGATAGATTTGACTTTGTTCATTGCCATTGGCCAAAGTTGCATGCATGCTTCATCTTGCCTCGCTCCTAATTCATGGTTCCTACTACTAATTAATCGCCAAGCCTTAATATCCATTTAAGTTTTATAATTCGATCATTGTGTGGCTTACAATATCATTGTATATTAATAAAAGTAATCTGAAATTATGGACAACCTTATTGTTGATCAATTAATCTGACCAATTTCAGTAGAACAACCATATTTTAACATACTATTAAGTACTGCTGCAGCACCCCATGCTTATGAGGCTAGTTTTCCCATAAATTATATAGGAACCTAGTGCATGATATCTAACTACAATGTTGGAAGAGGCCGCATAGGCGCCGATCGAACAACATATACGATCGAGCTATAAGGCAATATTTTCATGCAATGACGTTGTCATAATTAATAGTTTGTACTTCGAGTACGTAGTTAGGTAATTAATTTAAGTTAATTTGTGATCCCCCAACCAAAGATAAGAGAGAAGGCCAAAATGAAACTTAATTAAGGGAGGTGATATATTGTGCATCTTCATGCAACCATGCAGATACGTAACCATAAGACGCTAATTGCCTTGTACTTTTAGAAGATTATATTGATTACTCCATATCAACTTGATATATATAAACATCGCGCGCGCGCATATATACATACACACACACACACACACATATATATATACCAATAACCAATTGCATGTATGATATATTCCTCCAAGAAATTAAAGGGTGACAAAATAAACAGAAGATAACATAAAAGATCCAAATTAAAATACACAAAACATATATGTTAATATGTAGTAGAATATGTACATTCATGAGTGGTACTTGTGCTCTAATTAAATCAGTAAATATCAGTAATAAAAGTGGTCTGATAAAACTGAAACTGGATACCTCGCACTCGCCCATTAGGGTTTTGATTGTTTTCCTTTCCTAAACAATAGAGCTCATTACCAAAAAGAACAATAGAGCTCTGTACGTACGAATTGTAGCAGTAAGAATAGAGAGTGGTACAAACTTGGTGACCAGTGCTGGTGGCCAATTTTGTTGTGGGGACGACATTACACACCACATGACAAAACGACATCGTCACCATTATCATTACCACAAGAGAGCTGACTAGTGAAATAGTACCATATATATGTAGTTCCAACAGTACCACAACTGTTCTGATCAATTCTCTTATTAGATAGAGAGTGATCAACAAAACTAGTAGCAAAAAAACAAAAACCCCAACACACAACACAGACAGACTGCAACTTTGAGTTGAAAGCGGATCAAATCAAAGACCATGATGCAGTTTAGTTTCTATCTTTGGATTTTATATAAGGTTTCTCTCCTCACGAAAAAGATCCTTCACTGTTTTTTCCCTTCCTAGCAAACCAAAGCCCTTCTCTCTCTGCATATCTCTCCATCTCTCTCTCTCACCAATTTTTTGGAGTAATGCAGGTGGTACACAAACCACACCATCATTACCCATTTGTGCACTCACGGAAATACACCACAACAAACACGCTAAACCAACCAAAAGAACAAAAACCACCAAGAGAAATAAAAGAAGTTTAATTAAAACTAGTAAACCCTAGGCATGATATTAATTAGTCAGAGGGACCTGTGTTCAAGGATATTGATGTTATTAGTCCTTTGTCTCTTAGCACTCCCTGTGGAAGATTGATCCTGATCGCCGCAGCCGGTCTTCTCCATGACAGCCTTCAGTGCTTCTTGAATCGAGCTTTTACAATACTGTTGATGCTGCATTTGTACTTGCTCTCCCTCGCTACTACTCGGGTCTTCTTCTCCGGTGATGAACAACACGTTCTTCACACGTCCGCCGAGTGTGGTGATCTCGGCCTTGAGCGTTCTCAAGCGCAAGGCTTTCAACGTCTTGATTAGGTCAGGCAGGAGATCCGACCGGTCCTCACAGCAAAGCGAGGCCTTTATCACAAACTTACCATCCTCGTCCGATGCATCGTCTACTAGTAGTTCGTCAGTTTCGGTCGGTACTGGACTCGTCTCAGCGATCAGGGAAGTTTGGCGTTTCAGCTCTTTCACATGTTGTATCACTTCTGCTAGCAATGACGCTTTGTCCGTCTATATCACAAAAACCAAAAAGAGACTTAACAAAAGCACCGCCTATATCGAAACCCTATTATTTGGTTTAATGCTTGATTAATATTGCATTACATCACTAAAAAATTAGGTTAATTAATTAATGTTATTTTGAGCAAGTGACCTTCTACCACACTGATAGAGATGAATGTTGTCTTTACACCACAACGTTGGTCGAACCTTGTTGGCTTCCTAATTTAACATTTAATCTAACAAATTTATCAGTTGATACAAAAAAAAATAAAAATTAATGTTATTTTGATGAATGGCGGGGTTTTTGAAGGAAGAGCATGGGATGGGCGCATAGTGACTGACAAGGGTGCTACTTTGTCTGGACTTTAAGTTCTTTGATTTCTCGAACATGGTTTGACTGATGGGCGATATATATGATATTTCCGGCAAGAAATTTCCACGGGAAGCTTTTTAACTGCTCCATGGTTCCTCTTTATCATATCAACCCTTCGACATGACGCTTACTCTTCCTTTTTCATTGGTTTTTTCCTTTTTCCTTTCTCACCTCGGAACTACCACACGACTCAGAAAGAAGAACCCAAAAGAAACAAGAAAAAGATGGAAAAGCTTATTCATAAAATGTAAACTCATTTCTAATGAAAGGTAGCTAGGTCTTGACTCTTGATGAAAGTGTGCATAATCTTAACGCCTACTAGAATCTTAAGATCCACAAAGATCTTGGATTGAAATTGAAAAGCTAGCTCATTTCAAACAAAACAAGAGAAATCGAAAAAGCGTAGGAAAAAGAGAATAATGTCACACCCTATATAAAATACAAAATGTTGTAGCTCGCTGGAGATGGTGGGTAGGTGATGGTTAAGAGGGGCTAGGTTCAGCGTTCAATCTTCTGATGTAACAAAAAAGAAATTATGTTGTACACGCATGATATATCACATATATATGGCTGAGAGGTGTTTTTTGGGTCGTTTCCTTGTTATTATTTTCAGTATATACTTACTTTGGTGGTGCTGGGCAATAAGCTGCGCAACTTGGCGAGATGGTTGTTGATTCTCTCTCTTCGTCTCCTCTCAGCCTCGCTGTGACTCTTAGAAGCGGCGAGCGCCTTGGCGTCCATGATTTCTTGGGCAGTCAACTTACCTAACTCGGCCTGAAGACCGAAAGCGCCCGAACCCGGTTGAACCATCGGTCCAAGCGTCTCAGACAAGATTCTGAGGTGGTGGTGGTGGTCAGACGCTGAACCGTCATATGTGAACTGGAGAGAAGGAGGTCTTCGGTTGAAGAAAGAAGCATAGGATGATGACGACGGAATTTGGGGAGGAGTTGGGAGGAGAAAAGGATCGTGGGCGGTTGGGTTGTAGATCGGTGGGAAAGTCCATGGCTGCAAGATTGGAGTTGGAGGAGGAGGTTGATGATCATGTGGAAAAATCAAACCACCTTGTTGGTGCTGTTGCATCTGATGATGCTGTTGTTGTTGGAGGAACAAGTGTTCTTGAAAAGCTTGTAGGTTTTGGATTGACTGAGAGCACTCTCCTTGATCTTCTTCCTTCCCACACATCATCTTCCCTTCTCGTGTATATTTCTCGGCTTCTAGCTAGGGTTTCATAAAACGATGAAACTAATGATTGTAAAAGCCAAGGAATTGAAGACAAGGATGAAAGGGAATCAAAGGAATATCAATATATATATGTATATGTATATGGAGGGTTTTGGTGTTTATGGATGATCAATGTTCTTCTATCTCTCTATAGTGGTTTTGTTGTTGTCTCTCTATCTCTATCACTCGGGTAGGTTTTTTGATCTGCCACGCCTTTGTGGGCTTTGTGTTTGTGGGGGTGATGACCCTTTTTATCCTTGGTTTTCAACTGAGTTTCCCTTTTCCTTTGTGCTTGTTGGTATCATTTTGCTTCCTTTGTTTTTTTTTTTTTTTTTTTTTTTTTTGCACTATCCCCTCTCTCAACTCTTTTCTCTCTCTCCACCCTTTCCACCACTCTAAATACATAGTCTGTTGATTACTGCTAGTCTCCTTTCCCTTCTTCTTACGGCATTCTCTATCCATTCCATTCCTGTAGCTTTCAGGGTGGGGATGGATCCCTTCTCTACTTTATTCATATTTCCTTTTCCAATATTTTCATTTTTTATATACACATTATACATAATTTAAACATAAAAAAGCATGATCTCCATGTAAATAAAATAGCAATTTCTTTGTTGCTTTCTGTTTGGTTCAAAGCAAATAATTACTCTCTGGGAGTGCAGTAGTACTACTTAGAGAGAGAGAGAGAGAGAGAGAGAGAGAGAGAGAGAGAGAGAGAGGATTGAGTGGAAGGAGGAGAGGTAGCCAGGGATGGGAAACACAAGCAGGCAGCACAATTAAACAAACTGAACACACAACACACAGATTGTCGACCAACAAAAGACCAAAAAGGTTGAGAAGTATCATCATGATAAAAGGCTTAGCCAAACCCTTTTTGTTTTTCTAATTTTTTTAATTCATTTTATACATTGTTATATATTATTCAATTATTTTCCTGATTTAAGAATTGGCCTTTCCTTTCCTATATACCTCGGTCAAGTCCCCACGTTCTTCCATACTCTTGGCTATTTCCATGCCACCCTTTCTGCTTCCCCAAGACTATGTAATCATTGTGTCTTGGAGCACACTCCACCCCCTTCTCTCTCTCTCTCTCCCTCCTTCTCTCTCAGTATTATACCTTGGCTTTCAGTCTCATGTCGCTACAAATACATGGGGTATAATTGCTTATGCTTTTTCTGGTCCTTTTGAGTTTGAAACGTTGTACAATTCCATTATCATGAGATATTTGGGTGAAGAAGCAAGTTCAATTTCAAAGGCATCTTTCATACTCCTCCACTAGACTCAATTACAAGGTGAAAAAGTAAACTATATAACACTAAATTGTTAGATTGATATATCACTATACTAACGTCTTCAATATAATATAATTTCTTATTCATAACCCCTTATATGTCATTAATTATAATTGTTGTAGTTTATTTTTTGGTCACATTCCAACAAGGACAAAATGATGAATACATAGGGGAAATATGAAAAAGTGTATATCACTTGGTAGTTGGTAAGATTTCCCATTAAAACTTGAAAGGCCACAGCAACAATAACACCAAGGGGAAGGAGGAAGGGGAATAATTGATGTTTCCAAAACACTTTTAGTTTTTGTTGTGTGGCAACTGGGCACGCCATTCCAGGCCCCTCCCTCCACTCTTGTCAATGTTGTCGTTCTCCTAATCTTGTACCAGGAGTCCTAGTTCCCTGCCCCTATTGGTTGCTGGTTGGCAGGAGTGTAAACATCTTTTGTACTTATCATGCCTTTGTGGTAAAAACAAGATACAAGAATATTAACATGCCTTAAAGCTATTTACTGTCAATGCCTTCTGGGTAATCCCACAGTTAACTTGAATATGTGCTTATATTTATAGCAGCAGCATGGGTAGCCAAAATCACTAACACTAATTACTTTTTAGTGATTTCCCTTTCCAACACAATAATGATTTTTTTTAGTGAGAGAGTGATCCCCATTTTTTGTCTTAATTCTTTTGATAAATACTTTTAATTGATAAAGACTTATCTTTTTTGGGATAATGCTAGGTTGATTAAATTTTGTAAACTAAATGACATAAAAGTTGATGATTGAATTATTACTTAAGTGTTGATTAACGTGTTTATTTTTTATTGGTGACACATCATTTGGTTGCAAATTTAGTCTACATAACATTACTCTATCTTTTCGTTACATTGGAGGAAATTAACTTCTAAACCCTAATTCTAAGAAAATTTTCAGGGGAGCACAGTTCAGTACATCAAGTGTTATAATACAATGGTTGAAAACTTTTTCTTCAAGTATCCAGCCACTTGTATTATGACACTTAATGCACTGAACTGTATTTCAAGTACACTAAAAAATCTCTCCCTAACCTAATCCTTAATATCCCGCCCTCACTCACCATTGTCGCCACTTAAGCTAAAGACAACAAGGGCTTTGATCTAAACTCTAAAGTGACTTTGGCCAACAAGGGTGTTGACCTAAGGGTAATGCTAAGGAGATTAAAACTGTAGACAAAATTTTGTAAATTAAATGATATGGAAATTAATGATTAGATTATTACTTAAGCTTTAATAAACATGTTCATTCATATTGGTGACACATCATTTAATTTTTAAATTTTGTCTACAAATTTAATTTTCCTAACATTACCCTTGACCTAAAGTGGCTTTGGCTATAGCTAACTAAATTGTTTATCTTTAAAATGATGAATTAAACCCATCAAGTAACAAGTACAAACAAGTTCATTCCAATATTGTCTCCTCTAGTGCACCTCCTATCCCGACATTTTGGTACGGTTCTACTCTTCTCTTTAAATTGGGTCAGTCACAAAGCACTGTTACAATTTTCTTCTGCAACCTGGAAGCTTTGTAACTTTATAGATGTTATGTGTATTTTTATATCATATACACACATCTTTTATTTGTTTTTAATCAATTTTTCTAGGGCTCGGAGATACCTTTGGAGAGACTTTGTGGTCACTGGTCACACGCATGGCTAGTTTGGTCCCAAAATAACTTTTTAATTATACCTTTCTTTCTATCTTTTCTGTAGCTTCTTAATATTATTTTTGTTATATACATAATATATACACATATTATTTTGGGTTATATATATATATATATATATATATATATATATATATATATATATATATATATATATATATATATATATAGGTGCTTATATATATATTACAGCATGCTGATTCAAACATTTGATGATAGCTGCAGCACCACTAACAAAACGCATGAGAAGGGCTTTTTGTGGGGTTGATGATGACATCAGTCCCACCCTGTCATGACGGTTGTTCCCTCTCACCACTATTCGTGCTTATTGCTTCTTAATGCCTCCCTCTCTCCTGCAGGCATCGTCGATTAAGCTTCCAACCTCATTACCAGCTGTGTCTGTGTGTTGGTTTATATGATGAGTGTTATTTGACTTCCCTTCACATCTTTTTTAACCAATGTTCATATGCTTTTTCTGGCTTTTCTTTTGGACAAAGTTTCATGCTTCTTGACTACTCCTCCCCATTCCAAGAAACTATGACTTCAAAACAAATAATCACAACATATAATATATCAATGGTAAAACTAAAAACTAACGGAAATTATACCATACTGACACACCCCGACCTAGATCAAAGCATGTTGGCCGTCACGTGAGGGTGACATAGCCATATGCACAATGCGGAAGCAATATTAATATAAGGAATGCGAATAAATAAAAACCAAACCGACTAAAACACTAGATAAGATAAGGCAAAGGTGCGATATTAAAGGTGACTACACACAACTAGAGCGTAGGTAGCCTAAGTGCAGTCCAGTGGGACGAATACTAATTATACAATACCAAATATGGTCCTACATTTGTCATGATCTGTCAGAACCACTGTCAATTCCTAGTGAGCCACCAACGATCACTCCTACCTAAAACCTGGAGGGCGCAAAACAGAAAGTGTGAGTGGGAAAAAATAAAGCTTTTCAAAACCATTTCACTATCAAAAGTAGTAACCCCTCACCGTAAAACCTGTATAATTCCCAAAAAATAGCATATACAATTATATCTCAAAATCATATTCAAACTAATAAATCCGCTGAATATACCATGTCAAATCTCAGAAAGAAATAAGCAAGCCAAGTGAAATAAATCAATATGAAATAGCATGCCAGCCGGAGTCACCTAAAGTGACATGTACGGCTGGGTCCACAACTCATCAATCAAATTCTGCACACAAGTCGGAACCTCCTAAATTGGTATGTACGACTGGCTAGGTGTAAATAAATACGCTCAAGTGTTACGGTCACGTGAAGGCTGTGCGAAGTATCGCAAGTCAAATACGAGTTGGAACCACCTAAAATGGTCTGTACGACAGACTGACACCTGCCTTGGATCCAAGGTGAGTGTGTGGTGCGGGAGGTGAACGATCACGTGAATGTTAGGCACTGTCCTCAGGCAGAGCACTAACATCAGGGTGCAGGATAATAAGCTCGAAATACATCTCAGAACTAATATATTCACTACCATCACTACCATCAATATACTCACCTAAAACTTACCTGAGCGTCCACAGCGTCGAGCAACAATATATATAACCATAATAATGCACAATTAAACATAAAGAGCATTTGACATGGCATTTCAATGTATCAAACCATTTAATTAAGTTTTCTGGAAAAAATACCAAGTGTGTGTGTGTGTGTGTGTGTGTGTGTGTATATATATATATATATTGAAAACCCAAAAGGCCACTCATTGATATGAGGAAGGGTCGTAACCCCCGAGCCTTACTTGATTGCACTCGTCCTCATGATAGGTCTCACCTATATGCGAAACAACTATTTAAACGTTATTTTTAAGCACATAATCAAACTAGATAATAACTTCTCATACATTGCTTAATTAGGGTATTTGAATATACCACCGTGACTTACTCAACCTCAGAAACATCCCCATATTTTTAGAAAAATTTTCCGACCACTCACGCACCAGCCAAGGCATGGCCAAATGCGCAGCACACGCACAGGCACGTGCCTGGCACACTGACGCATTCCCTAACTATTCCGTTAAATATTAGAATATGCCATTAATTATATCTTACGCCGTTAAAATATTCCGTCAACTTTGATGGAATATTCGCCTTCTTCTTCGGCGAGTCACCGGATTCTGTCGCCGTTTGTGTCACCGGAAACTGGAAAACTGAAAAACTTCAATATCTCTTCCAATTCAACACCAAATTCCATGAAATTTTCACCAAAGTGAAGCTCTCAACGATGAGAACATGATCTTACTTTTCAAACGTCCTAAAATCAACGGAAACTCGCCG